TTCCTGGACCTTCCACTGGAAGAAAGCTATTATTGGAACAGTTGAATCGTAACTTAAAAACTATACTAATAAATCCATATATATGTGTGTGTGAATGAATATATATATATATATATATTCATTCAATCAGTTCTGTTCCTCTAGAGAGTCCTGACCACTACAGGAAGCATTTACTCAAGACCTTCAGTGTTATTTTCCTCCCCACATCCCTCCTTTAACCTGCTCCCTATCCTTCTCCCCCACTTGATCCTCCTATTCTAGTTTCTCCTTTATCTTTTTAGAATACCTGGATTTCCCTTTCCTTGGAAGATTCCCCCACCCACTCTGTCCCTTACTAGGTACCTAACTTCTGTGGTTAATTGGATTGAAACACATTTAAACTTAGAAACTAATAATATATATATACACATTTTCATATGTACATATGGAGGGAAGGTGGCATGATGTTCCACTCTCTAGCTGAGGACCTATTGACATTTGATTGCTGCTAGGAAAGGGAAGGTCAGTTTTCTTTAATGGTGCCACACCTGGTATCTTAAGCACATTCCAGGGCAGGCCCCATGCCCAGAAACAATCAGCTCACAAAAGCTGGACCTGATGATGATTGGGGGGGGGGCAGTGAAACTGGGTAGATAGGGAGGTGGGGGAGGTTCTGGGACCAATAGGGGAAGGGGGATGAATAATATCAAAAATACATTGTATGATGTTGTCAAAGAATAAAAACTTTTTAAAAGATTGGTCAAGTCCTTAATACTCAATTCTTTAATAGAAGAGGCAGATTTAAAAAAAAAAAAACACTTAATGAAACAAAAATGAAGTAGGCAACAACACAGCAAACCTACTAAGTCTTGTAGGTGACTAATTTTAATTATTGGGGTCCAGAAACAATTTGCATGAAATAACATATAAACTAAATGTAAAACATAACATTTGAACAACATCTTAAAAGATGGTTAGAGCTTTGCAGCCCGCGGTGGTCTGGGCTGTTTGAAAAGAAAGGGTGAGAGGGCCAGGTGAAAACAGAGCCTCCCCACCTGCAGCTTCTCTCAGACAATCATCACTTCAGGAGAAAGAATAAAATGCTTTCCCTGTCCTACCTCACACAACCCTGTCTTTGCCTTCGGCTTCAGGACTGCCCCAATCCTTCCCTCTGCTAATGTCTCTCAAGCATTCCTACTTCTCTTGCTGCTTCTCTCCTGTCCAGTCCTGGTGCAGTGGTCAAAGAGTCTTTGTTCTTCATTCTTCATTTCTGACCCATTGTGCAGTGATAAGGAGATCGGCTCAGTAAAATAAGGATTTACTTTCTGGCTTTATCCTTCCCTTGTTTTTAGAATTTAATCAGTATTTCTCCTTAAAATGCATTTGATGCTCAAGGAACACAGGACACACAGTCTCAGATAAGAGACTAGAGAGTACCACTGAACTAACGAGATTCTAAGCATTTTTTTTTTAGCAAGGAATCTATTATTACAGTGATGAAAAGCCTTAACCTTAAACATGCTGGTCTCTCTATACATCTTCCTTTAATACCTGAGAGTTTTATAAGGCTTCAGATGTCAATCAGTAGGATGGGTAGTTGAGTTTCCTCAATGAGACAAAGGAGGCACTTTTAAGGAAGTTCTCACACAAGCCAACACCCTCATATTTTAGAGGAAGGTAGTTTGGCATCTTGACACTGTAATAAATAACCAGAGAAGCAGAAGAGCCCCATTCCTGACTGATGATCCCGTTACCAGGAAGATCCATCTACTAAAGGACTAATGAGTCCACGGTTTCCCCTCTCCTATAGAATAAATAGCTACATCTACCCATAACTTGCCTCTAGAGTCAAATTTGTCCATGCCAATTAACCATTTATACTGATTTCAAAAGTACAAAAAACCACTCATATGTAACACAGATACTAGACTTTCCAGAGACAGTGGTTGTTCCCTATATAATTCGATGAACTGGTGTGATATAGAAGTAAATACTTTACATTGGTATGGATTTTTGGTTTATTGATACAAATTTAAGGTCAGTTTTATTATATATTTTCTACTCTTGTTTAGGTATTGTGTTTATATAGCTCATTTTAAAAGGTAATGTATAATTAAAAATACAGGTTATATACAATCATCTTAATAGTCAAAACTTATAGTCATGTGAGTTAGTCTTTCTAAGTATACAGAGACATATTTCAGATGGATAGATATTCTTCAAATCTTTCAAAGACTACAGAATATGGCATTTAAAATGGTTTGTTAACTGAGGGCTTTTCATGACAATGAGACATATTTGCTCCTGGCAACACCAATTAACATCAGAAAGGATGATGGGCATCTATGAAACTCATTATGGAGTTTGCTTCAATGTGACAAGGATAGCCATTTGGACAAAAAAAACTGCTCTTGCCTGGACTACTTGACAGCACACTGTACAAACTGGACAAGCAGGTTACAAAGAATAGTGACTGCTGAACTTGCAAAGAGACAGGATGATTCTTCAAGGTTCTTGCTTCATCAAAAAGTCTGCCAGACATTCTGGGCTTATAGCTAAAGAGGGTGGAACTTTGGGTGATTGTCCAGGCAGTGAGATGTCTCTGTCAATTCTAGAGTTCATATATTATCCTTCCAGGGTCTTTGATGGAGTTGAAGACAGATAGTTTATGGTCATGGTTTTCCTTAGCTATGATAAAAGATAAGTTACATATAAAACTTTAGAATCACAAAGATAGGATAGATGATAGAATATTTTCTTTAAATTTTGCCAAATGTTAATGGACTAAATATTGTAACTATAATTCTTGCTTGATAACTTTTTTGTTATATATAATTTTACTATGTTAAAGTTAAAACCTTCTTTTTTATTTTGACAGAAAAGGGGAGTTGATCGGGGATGTCCTTCTGTATACTGTAAATATGTGTTGCTCTTATTGGTTGATGAATAAAGCTGTTTCAGCCAATGGACAGGTAGAATTTAGCCATTGGGGTTAATAATTAAGAGGGAGCTAGCCAATATGAAGCCTAAGTCATTGGCTAAACAATTGTATATGATATTAAGTCTTAGGATGGTTAAGTGGCTATGGAACCCAGGAGGCGGAGAAAAACTGGTTCAGTGGTATCCAAATAGATGGGTAAAATCTCGTTTCTATACGTGGGTAAAAATGAGCTCAGCTCATTTTTTCTTTTCCTTATAATGAACCCTTCCAGTTCACCAAGTGACTCAGTTGTTTCTTTTATCTTTTAAAAATAACTGACATTAGAGAAGTGGTTCAGCAGTCAGCATCTCCTGTAGTACTTGTGGCTCTTGTAGATGGCCCAGGATCAGTTCCCAGAATGCACATGGCAGCTCACAACCTCCTATAAAGGAATTTGATGCTCTCTTCTGGCTTCTGAAGGCATCAGGCACACATGTGATGAACATACACATATGTAAGCAAAATATTCATACATATAAGATAAGAATAACAAATATTGAAATAAATTTATCCTATACACACCCCTCCTTTAAAAAGTGGCTCTCCTTAAAGTGAACAAGGATCAGTATATAAACTCTGCTTCTCTAAGGAGTAGTTTACAGAACTACAAATGAAATTTGAAAATCCTACCAAGTACTGGACATTAGAGAAGTTCCATAAATATTGCTGATAAGCTGATTTAATACTATTAAAGACAGGTAAACAACTACTTTGAGATTAGGAAGCATCCAAACACACTTCTAACATTTATAAGGGCTAAGGTAAGACTGCAGACAGAGGCTTAGATTCTATTATATATGTTTTAAGTTAAGCTATTAAATAAAATATGATCTTATAGTCTGACACTGACAAATACACCTTCAACTACCTGGAAAGGCAGGTTCTTAGAGTCTTTGATGTTCCATACCATAGTGAAGCATACAGGGCAAGTCTACCCCTTCTCTTCCCATCCCCAGTTCTGTCAACATCTCCGCTCCCCTTCTCCCCATCTCTTCTATTTTCTCCTCTCCCCCTTCTCTAGTAGCTCTTGCTATGTTACCAGTGCTGGGCTTGATCACAATACCTCCATCTTCCAGGCTTTGCCTGGAATACCACTTCCTGCCTAGTACCTGAGGTTACAAGGTTCACATCATTTAGTGAAGGATCTTTCAGTTCACAAGTGCCAAAGCAAAGCTTCTCTCACCCAGGACACTGGGTAATTTTTTGTTTTATTTTGTTTTTTTAAAACAGGGTTTCTCTATGTAGCCTTTGCTGTCCTGGTATTTGTTCTATGGACCAGGTTGGCCTGGGACTCAGAGATCTGCCTACCTCTGTCTCAAGTGCTATGGTGTATGTGCCACCACACCTGGCTTGTATAATTTATTCAATAAAGAAATGGCCAGATCACTCTTGCTACCAGTCAATATACCAGACAAAAGTCAATAAGTATTATGATAAAGATAAAACTTAAACTTCCAACCCCTAAGTATTTCAGGTCTCTTAAGACCTATAACCAACAGATCTAATATTTATCTAGATCTATATCTAAAATCTTGATCTGTACTTTCTTAACAAACCCATTCAAGCTTGGAGCATTTTATTCACATTACAAGTGAGTTGAAACAGGAAAAAGTCAAGAGAACATAGAGTATCAACACAGAAGATCAGATGTGCAGATGCAAGAAAAAGCACTTTTCTTGTGTGTCTGTTGCTAACACCCAGATGACGCAGCTGGTCCAAGTTCAGCGTCACAGTACAGCACGTTTGGGACCTCCGCTCCCTCTCACTGATGCAGATGCACACAGCCACAGTGTGTGCCTGCTAACGTCCATAACCTAGCAACCAGCAAAGCAGCAGGGCACGCTGAGCCACAGCACGTAAGTAAAGAGCCTCTCCCTACACAGAGCCTCCCCTCACCATAACTTACTGTGCTCCATGCACTCACTTAGCCAGAATATGACTGTTTACTTGAAAAAACTATTAGATAACTTGTTATTGCAGTTCATAACACTCCACAAGAGGGCAAGTATTTCAACTGGAAATCTTACTTATTTGTACTTACTGAGATTGTACCATTGTCTAGACCTATGGACAGTCTTCTTGTTTCCGGGTTAAAAGACATGCATGAACATGGAGCTGAAAGAAATGAACATGTTGATGAAATTAACAAAACAATGATTCTCATCGATTCAGGGGTGTCTAATGAGCTAAGTGTGTGGCTAGGTCACCCCACTGTCTCCTGAAACAGTTCATTTCAACCATGCTCACGACGAAGTAAAAACAGCAATTTTGAAATTAAGCACCTGGTATTTAAGTTGCCTTTTAATGAATATACAAGTAAGACGTTCTCAAACATGGCCAGTCCTAAAGGATGTACTCTTGGCTTGTGCTGGTCATACTAGATCTAAATTTGCTTGTCTAGAAGACTGACTCTACTTTGTGCTGTGTAAACTATTGACCAGTACTCTCTTAATCCCACTCAAATCCCAATTTAAACAGGAGCAAGCAATGTTTTCTGAGCTGGAGAGAAAATAGAAAGTTTACCCTCCACTGCTAGACATCCAAATACACACACACGAGTGCAGAAAAGTTGTATTGGTTCAGAATTTATGCGGGGCAAATGAACTATCAAGGGATTTTACTCTGAGTGCTCAAGTGGTATCCTGGAAGTTGCTAGTTGAAAATAACTGTGGGGTCATTTTCTTTGTATGAAGTTAAAAGAGACCCCAGTTTGAATGCAAATAAAACATATAAAGCTATGGTGGTAAGAACATGGTGGGTTTTATTTGTAAGTGAATTGTGGTTTAAGTGGCAAAGATGCAGCATTCTGAAGTAGGGCGAAGCCCTTATTCAGCATCACTGATGTCTTTGGAAGAGCAGAATTCAGACACAGACATGCACACAGCAAGAACGGAGTGTGAGGGTACACCAGAGCTAAGGGGGAGACCAGGAAGCCACCAAAAGTCAAAGAGTAGCAAAGCTCAGGCTCCCTCACAGCCCTCAGAAGGAGTCAAAGTTGTGCAGGACCTGAGATCTCAGTCTCCAGAACTAGGAGGCAATACACAGTCCTGCTGCTGAAGTGATTCACTTTGTAGTAGTTTTCCTACAGAGGCCCCAGGAAACTCGTGTAGGAGTTATTTCATTGTGTGGTGGTATTGAGAATAAAAAGCATCTTTTTAAAGTCTCTCACCCTCTGCATGCTGTCCACTTGTGGCTCTCTGTATTAACTGCCATCTACTGCTAGAAGTTTCTCTAGTGGAGGTTGAGAGATGCACTCACCTATGGCTATAGCAATATGTTGTCAGGAGTCATTTTATTGCTGTGTGTCCTTTAGCAGAATGCTAGCATTTTTCCCACTCCCTTATAAAAAAAAACAGAACTGCCAAATTCATCATTTTATTAGAGTGAGTGTGTGTATGTCTGTGTGTTACATGAGTGTGCAGGTAGCTGTGCTTGAGTACATATATCCAGAGGTCATTTGGCTTATCCAATTAAAATGTCCAGTTGTCATCCTCTACTCTCTGCATTATTGCCTTGACAAGAGTCTCTCACTGAACTGGAAGCCTGAAATTGAACAATCATTTCGGGGGTTTCTTTACTGCACCCCTTGTATACAATACTAAGAACTTGTCAAACCACCTTACAGGATGAGAGTTTAAAAAAAAAATTATCAGCCTGGCGTTAGAGGCACACGCCTTAGGCAGGGGCAGGTAGATCTCTGTGAGTTTGAGACCAGCCTGGTCTGCAAGAGCTAGTTCCAGGACAGCCTCCAAAGCCACAGAGAAACCCTATCTAGGGAAAAAAAAAAAAAATTGTAAGACAACAGTGGGCATGACCATACTTTGACCAGACTGCTTAGAGTGTGTGCACATCCTTGGCCCTCCAGTTAAACTTTGATCTACTTCAGGACCCTAAAGATGGAGTCCAAGGCCTTGCTGGATCTCTTTGCCCCCACTCCCTCTCAGTGTGACCACATACGTCTACCTTTTCTGCTTCCCACTTTTGACTTTTGATTGTTAAGGAAGGGAGGTCAGACATGACTTGGCACAGGTTTTGACCTCCAAATTCACTCCTAGAATGCAGGTTGGGGCACAATAAAATAACAGTTCCCTCAATCATTTAGAGACAGAAAAGACAGAATCTTAAGTCTATAATGACTTTTGATTTTACCTTTTGATCCTTTGTATTAATAATCCTTTCTCTCATCTTAAAAGAAATAGAAACTTTCTTCCCTTTTCTTTTCTGAACTGAATGCACCTAATTTCATGTAATTGTGTCATATGTCTATCATAATTGTTCTTGTATGTTTTTTGTTTTCATGTTATTTGTGTCAGAAAGATTTTTTTAACAAACTATGGCCACTTCAGTTCCTCTTTTTTAAAAATTCATGTTTGTTGTATGCTAAAATTATTATTATTAGTTTGGGGCATGTCCAATTAAAATGTGAGTACAGATTTGAATTTCAATATTGTGATCATATATTAAGGCCTAATAAATACATCTGGGAACCCTAAACATCTTATATCCTATTATATCTTTAGGTATATTCAATGTTTTAAAAACTTTAAAATGCTAATTATTTATATAAAACAACATTTGTTAGAGTCATAAGATTTCATTAAACTATAAATTTGAATGTTATATTCATAAATTTAGATAAGGATTTCCTTCCAAAACAGTTTCTAAATATATAGTTATATATATTTTTTATCTTGTTATATAATAGGTGACATAAAATTCGAATGATTTCTTCAAAATATTCTTAATATATATATTAAATGTTTAATGTAAGACTTTTATACAATATATTCTGTTGATAGTTTCCCCTCCCCCAGCTTTTAGATCCTCCCTACTTTTATCTATGAAAACTAAAGTCCAAATTAAAGACTTTTTCAAAGAATAAACCCCAGATGATTTCATCAACTAAAAGGAAAGAACATCATCTCAAAGACTCCTTTCTGATTTAAGCTCACTCCTGGGAGGGTAAAGCCTAGGACTGTTCAGGCACTCCTCACTCACTTCTGGGATGGTAAAGCTCAGGACTGTCCAGACACTCACTCACTCACTCCTGGGAGGGTAAAGCTCAGGACTGGCCAGACCTCACTCATTCACTCCTGGGATGGTAAAGCTCAGGACTGTCCAGACACTCACTCACTCACTCCTGGGAGGGTAAAGCTCAGGACTGTCCAGGCACTCCTCACTCACTCCTGGGAGGGTAAATCTCAGGACTGTCCGGGCACTCCTCACTCACTCCAGGAGGAAAGTACTTTCTCAGATCATCTGAGAACACGTTCATGTGGACTTGGAATATTCTGGATGTACTCCTCTTCAATGCCACTGACAATGGAATACCCTGAGAAACCAAACATTTATCTGTCTATGCTTCTTAAATATTTTGTGATTAGATTTAAAAAATTACTTATGATATCTAGTATTCTGATATATTTCAAATGAGAAAATAATACTAATCTTGATTTTCACTTCATCTCACCTTTTTGATATGACTATTTGCTTACCCTAAGTCCCACATTATTCAAAACTAATGTTTGTGCCAGGTGGTGATGACACACACCTTCATTCCCAGCACTCTGAAGGCAGTCAGATCTCTGTGAGTTTGAGACCAGCCTGATCTTGAATTCCAGGATAGCGGCTACACAAAGAAACCCTGTCTCAATAAACAAAAAAACAAGAACTAATGTTTGAAAGAGTCAAATTTTTCAGTCTTTATTAACACACACACACATATATATATTCTTATTATCCAGTGTAATTTGGATAAAACAAAAAATTAGTTTTATTTTAAACTTAAATTCCATTTATTCTAAGTAGAAATATCCAAAGATTTGAGTTTACTCTTTTTATGTGAATTATACAAAGGACATCAATCTCTAGTACCAACAATGTCCATAATGATTTATACCTTAAATACTGGTGTTTCTTTACTTAATTAGTATCTAAAATATCTTATAGTATGAGTAGCCAGTATTTAAAAATTAAACAATATTTATCTTTTACAAATTTAAAAGTGTGTGGGGACAGATGGACAACAGTGACTCTTTATCTTGGGCTAGTTCTAGTCCTTGGGATATTCATTCCTTGCCCTTTTCTGTGTAAGAACCAACACCCCATGACTAACAGATAAAAATCTTTTTGCCTCTAACTTAGCTGATCACTAGCTTTCATCAACCCAAAAGCTTCAGACAGCATCTTGGGCCTACAGAAAAAGCTTCCCCCATCTCATTGTACCTGCCCCTCTGATGTACCATCAATGTATTTTAAACTTGGCTTGATTTGTGACTTTGTTCTGTAGAACTATAAAACTTCATGGAACTGCTTCCACAATAGAACACAGAATTTGGGGTAACCTAAATCTATGTTCCTGGGCCATGGTCACTCAAATGGATCCACAATAAACTCTTATTCCCTTAAAAAGTATCCACAGAGGATTTCACATTGATGTACATGCAAATGAAGGCACAGTGAATAAAGGCATTTATATAGAAGGGTTACAAGTATACAGCTCAGAACTTAGGTGAAGGCTCTTGCTGCCCACCACAATCAGGCTCTCTCTCAACTAGGCCTTGATTAGATGTGGGAAAACAGATGGTTCAAAATGAGTGCTTCAGTAAGGGCTCGAGTTCCTACACTTGTTAGCTGAGCAAATGGCTCAGCTATGTAAAATCTGTGTGGCCTGACCACAACCTCACAACCAAGAGCCAATGCAAGAGCTGGATAAGTGACAAAACAAGCTATTTCAGTGATGTGTAAAATGTGCCAATCTTTGTATTAATGTAATTATCTTTGGGGAAAAAAGTTTCTTGTTTTGTTTGGGGGACAAATTCATAAATACTCAGGAGCTAAGGTAAATTCCACCTGCCTGGCCTGAAAAGAAACCCCACAATGGCCTCCAGTTATCTAATGGCCAGGCATTAGACAGGATTCATCCCTCAACTTTCTGGTTACTATATCTCTGGCAGCCAAGGGAGTTTACCTGTTCTCTGTTCCCAAAGGAGAAGTTGGTACCAAGGGCCCAACTGTGACACCCAATCCTCTCACACAACCATCTCCACCACCTGCCACCCAGCTGACACTTCAGATTCCTTCCCATCTCCCTTTTGTCTTAAACCCTTGAGTGA